TAAAAAATGATTGTGAAGAGTTTCAGAAGCATCTATTTTGGCTAGGTGAATGGTCATTTAAAACTGGTGCAGAGTGGGGTGGACAGTTCTTGGGACCCCTAAGATCGCCATATTACACAACTGATCCACAATCTGCACTGGCTGCTAGTTTGCTTCTGGTTGTAATTCAATATGTTGATTATTACCTTTAAAGCTCTGCATTAGGGCCTTACAGTCCAGGCTACTTGAGGAACTGTCTCATTCTACCTGCCCCACCTGTGACGGCAGAGGAGACATATTGCGGGCTCCATAAGTCAAGGAATTCCAGCTGGCAGGGTTCAGGAGAAGGGCCTTCTTTTCTATGGCCCCTACTTTTTGGAACATCTTAATCCTGAGGTGAGATTCTGACCTTCTGTAAGGGGCCTGAAGACCTGACTCTGCCAGATAGCTTGGGCCCCCAATGGGGAACCATCACACTGGAGGTGGTTGATGAATTAAGAGGCAATCCCTGCCCCCCGTGTATCCTGCTCCCACCATTTTAAAACTATAATTCTATTTTTGATTGTACTTTCCATTTTTATTGTTTTATAAATATTTATCTTTTATAATTTTAATGCTTTTAAAGTGACTTACAGTCACTTTGAAGCAAGATGAGTGGCAAATCAATTTAGTAAATAAACAAAAAGCCAAATACAGATTAATTTAAATAAATGTGAAATGAACTAATAAGGAAAAAGTTCCTTGGCCATATGGATAAAGCAATGAAGACGTCTTTTTTTATTAAAACTTTTAAACAAGAAGATAAAAACTTACTGCTCTTCAATAAAAACAATAGACAGATGGCCAGATGTTTGAGACAACTAAGCAGTTGGATCTTCAGTAAAACAATTATTTTTAAAGAATAACCAGGATTGCATGGAACAGTTCTATGATGCAAAGACCAACCTCTGGCCTAGTCAGTGTGAAATATACTCCCAACAGTTACTCTAATTGATCCCTTGATCTGATCTGGGCTTTGGCGGTGTGTCTTTCTTGCTAAGGCAGGGGTAAACCTCTGCTGTGGCTCCCTATCAGGTGATCCCACCACTGGCTGGCCCCATCCCTCGCCCTCCCATCCCAGTCACTCCTCGCCTGGCCTTAGAAAGTAAGGGCAATGGTGGGATATGGAGAAACGACCAGGGCAGAAACAGGGAGATTCAGAGAGAGGGGGAGAGAGAGATACAGAGAGAGAAGGGGGCGGGGGAGAGAGGGGAGAGAGAGAGATGTCAAAAGGATTTTGTGGTTCCCGGTGTTTTTAACAACTGGTTCTCTGCCTAATGACTGGCTGGGTAGGCATGGCTGGGGGGAGGGAGTTTCATGTGACTGGTGTAAGTGAGTGACATCGAGTTGGCCACGCTCATCCAGTGGCTCCTAGTGTTTTCTTTTCTGTGGGAAATGAGTCCAAATGGCTCTTTTGAGTATTTAAGATTGCAGACCCCTGTGCTAAGGGAACTGGAACTCCACTGGAAGCAGCTCTATCTGTCAAGGACATCTGCTATTATCAAGCCAGACCCTGCTATCATCAAGCCAACTGAAAGAACCCTGCCCTTCTGTCTGGGCATTAAGTGGTTGCAGAAGTTGGTTACTGGGTGGGAAAGGGTTAAGTACAGAAGAATAGGAAGTAGAATTGGGTTGAAGATGAATCTAAGAAGGACAGGCAGAACCTGCAAATTCATTAAAAAAATCTGCTTATTAGCAGATTTACAAGTGAAATTGGCTAGTTTAATAATGTAAGCAGCTTTATTTACAGCCATCCAGATTTGTGTACAAATAAGCAGCTACAGAAATCGAAATAAATGAATATGTCTTTTTTTATAATAAATTTCTCCTCAATTATGATATGTATCTGAAAGGAAGACTGTCTTATATTTAGAAACCCCTGAAAAAGTAAGATAAAAAAATAAGTGGAAGGCTAAACTTCTCCATTTTATCAATCTGATGTTCCTATTCTAGTCAGAGATCTCCCCAGCCTTTTAGGAGAAGTGTATTTGTATATGCATGTGGGTACATATAGGTAGAAATGACATATCAAAAACAACAAGACCAAGGCAAAAATATTAGTACTAGTAGTAAAATTAAAAATTAGTGATTTACTTTAACTCTATAAAATAATGATTCTATTTCTTTTTTATCTCCATTAACTTATATGAACCATTCTCTGTATCAATCACATGTAAAGCAATTTCAGAATGAGAGATATTCCCCTCCCTTCTACATCTCAAAACACCAAAATATAAGGGGAATAAAGAAGGATAGTGATAGGGTGAGGGTAAAATAGCTGCAATGACAAGGGAAGGAAAGTGTATAGCAGAGCAAAATTGGATGAAATGTATTGATTTTTTCCCCCTTTCATATGAGACAAATATAGCATGTAGACAACCTTTTCCAAGAACATATTAATCTTAAAGATATTAACATATTTCAGTAGATAGATCAGTCATTTGTACCTCCGATCATTCATGCATTTTTAACAACACTCTCCCAGTTCACAATTGAATATTTAGGAGAAATGAGAGGTGGGGTCAAGGGAGAGGAAAGAGAGAGTGTTGAGCAACAATCAGACAGAAAACATATTGGGAAATAATAGATGGAAGCTAAGCTATTAATTAGTCTGTTCATTAATTTAAGGAAGTCCAGTGAGGGGAGGAAATACTCTTTATATACAAGTAGTTTCTGTATACAAATAGTTTCTGTATTACGCAAGCCCCAATTTGTATAAACTCAAATTTACACAAAGGGTGCAAAAATGTGACTGCCATTTGCAGATGCATACAATTTGATATATGGAAGAATGTATAAGGATTCCTGCAACATAATTCTTTTGTTACCCATGACTGCCTGTATTTGATACTAAGAAACACTGATTAGGGTTGGGAAAATAAGCAAATCCTAGCTCAGCCTAAACTGAAATATTAAGCAATAACAATTTTACAAGAAGAAAATGAATCATTTGATAATATTATTGTAAATAAAATTGGAATCAACATAGCAGATCACTTTGTTCCTGACTAAAGAACATTTGCTCAACATATTCCAGTTATTACATCTTGATTCAGATAAGTAGTCTTCCAAATTACAAACTAGTATTTCCAAATTATTTATTTCATTTTTTTCTAATTTTCATCTGTGTATTTTGCAAAATTACACAACTTTATTTTATTTGTGCGATCTAGAGATTGGAAAATGGAGCTCTTATTTTGGCCAGTGCAAACTGCTCTCTTCCCTAATTCTCCTACACTTCCAAAATCTTACTCAGAAAACTGCAGGAACTTGTCAGGAAATTGACAGGAGTCAACAATGACTTGAAGGTGTGTATGTGTGCAAATAGGGCCTTAATTTTCCTTACAATGGAGAATTCCAGCATTTGTCTCCTCCTCTCCGTGTTTCTGCTATTTTCATTTTGTATACTTTTGTCCCTTTTGGTTACAAACAAGTCAAGGATAGCTGATTCTGGCTGCCTTCTTTACTATCTGAAGAAAATTTTCAACCCAAGTCATGTGATTTCTTAAAAGGACCATCCTTGGCAGAATTTTCTCCTAACATATATTGGAATAATTTATAGCTCCAATCACAACCATTTTATATCTTTTTAAAAGATCTGCTATTTGCTTTGCTTTTCTACATGTTTCTTTGGATAGGTGATTGGGAGTGGACAGTTTCCAGCAAATGTTTCATTTTCTAAATTATAAAACAAGAATATATATTTAAAAACAATGCAGTACTGCTATTGGATTTCAGAGTTACCTTTATCTAAAAGAGATATTATTATGATAATAATATTCACTGTCTAGAACAAAGATTAATCAGAAAAAAACCCTATCTGCTTCTTCTGCTATATGTTTAGTGAATTTAAGAAATCCCCACTTTTAGTTTTAAAGGCAGACTACAAGTAATCCTCGACTTACAACTCAATTGAGGCCAAAATATCTGTTGATAAGCAAGACATTGTTAAGTGAGGTTTGCCCCATTTTACAACTCTTCTTGCCATAGTTGTAAAATGACTTGCAGCTGTTAAGTAACATGGGTGCTAACTGAATCTGGCTTCCTCATTGACTGTGCTTGTCAGAAGGTTTCAAAAGGTGATCATATGACCCTGGGACACTGCAACTGTCATAAATACATGCCAGTTGCCAAGCATCCAAATTTTGATCATGTGACCATAGGGACACTGCAATGGTTGTATGTGTGAAAATGGTCATAAGTCACTTTTTTCAGTGTCGTAACTTTAAATGGTCACTAAAAGAATGGTTGTAAGTCAAGGACTACGTATAGTATTTTACTTATTATAACTACTGTTAGGCAAACACAGCTAATGTTGATATGATTATTACATGTAATCTATATATATAAAAGCAAAAACCACTCACGCATTAATCACAAAATCTCCAGAACCATAAAGCCTACAAACTTGAAATTTGCCACGTATGTTCCTCTTGGCTTTTAGGGGCTCACTAAGAAAGGATTTTTCGAAATGACCATCAGAGCATTAGTATTTCCTATATTATTATTAACACGCTCTAAGGAGTGTGCTCTAAGGAATATGCTAAAGAGTTCTACTCCCCCTCCCCGCCTCAAAAGAAATCTGCTCCAAATGCAAAACACAAGCAGAGGAGTTTCACTTTCAGTTTTACTTTCACAGCAGCAAGCAGCTTTACTACAGAACAGTTGAGCTAAGCCACACCCAGCCTCCTTCCTGTCTCCTTCTTGCTCACACAGCAAATACTGTTTGAGTTTCCAAACATCCCTCAACTCTCTCACACACTGACAGGATGCTAGCCAGATGAATACCGATGGATGCTGTGGTCTGGGACAATTTATCAAGCCCGAGCACATAGTTTCGTAGCGAAGCATGGGCGTCCAGCTAGTACCTACATATAATCTTGCTAGAATGTTCCTACAACCATCACTTAATTTTCTTTTGCATCGTTGTAACATTCCCAGAAAGAGCAAACACGATTTAACACACAGAAATAATGCAATACCTGCTATAGCCTTCTTTGGAGAATCAGATAGGCTTGACATCCAAACTTCAGAGCCAAGAAAAGAAGCAGCAGAGAAACAAGAAAAGCAAAAGAGAGATTAGAGATAGAGAGAAGCAGTTTTGTAACAATGAAAATCAGAATAGTTTTAATTCTATATTTGTTTGAATATATACAGAGAAATTTTCTGCATTAAACTCTCAGCAAGCAAACAATAAAATACATTGCTAAAGGAGAACATCAGCTGATACAAAGTTGTTTCCATGGTAGTTTTGCAAACAACAAATGTGTTTATTTTGTATAAGCATTAGACGTTTCTCTTGGTTAGAAGGTTTGTTGTACAACAATGAAATCATTCACATTTGTGGCAATACCTTGAAACTGTCCAGATTGCCATTTTTATAAAGTAAAGCCTGGGTGTTTTAGTATTTTACCACAAGGCCAGACATTAACTCCGTTTTACAACATGAATGGACACTAATCCATGAGTTTAGTGAATCATTTCAATCCACTTCATCGTAAGCTAATGCTAGAGCTGTCAATTTATACAGCAGTTCTGAAATCATTGAGCTGATTAGAAAGAATCAACTTTTTAAACCATTATTTTGAGATATTGGAAATATAAAGATTTTTATTTCTATTTACTTAAAAAAAAGAGCCACCTGACAATGAGATGGGTGGTGTAGGCTCTCAGAGCCACAAGTCTTAAAGTCTTAAAAAAATCATTTTTCCAATTTTACCAACAAAACTTGTGATCATCTACAGATATATATGACTTTCTAGCTCAATTTATTAATGAAATCTTGCTATCATACAGTAGATAAAATGCTGAAAAATCTATATACGGTAGCTATAAGTGCACAATTTATAATCTACATATGGTCTATAAGGACATTTTGATATGGCTCTGAAAGGACCCCATCAAATCTCTGCCTTGTCTCCATGCCAACTTTTGGGGTGGCGGAAGAGCAGTAGAAATAGAAAAGTAATAATGCAACTTTTAACTATTATATTAGCACATACTGTTTTAAAATTGAGCTGTGAAGGAATCAGATATAAATTCTACAGACATTTCCGGAGACATCAAAGCATATATCACTTGTAGTAAACATGATTCAAAACTAATGGTACACAGAGCCTTTCTGCAAGCAGGAACCATCACTTGAACTTTGAGTAGCAAAAAAAATAAAAAATAAAAATAAAAAAGGGTGGGGGGGCTCCATGAGAAGGATTCCCTTTCAGTGTTTCATTTCAGATGGAACAAAAATATTACAATCCTGTTTTTCAGAATTTCCATCTTCTAAGCAACCAGAAACCTTATTGAAAGGACTGAACATTTCCCGAAGTACATGTTTTTTTTTAAAAAAAATACTTTGAACTTCTTTGGTTAAGAATTATAGAACTGAAATATTCTATCTAGAGTAGTGATGGCAAACCTATGACACATGTGTCAAATGTCACATCTTTGATGTCCCGGCAGTGTTTATAAATGCCAAACAACAACTATTCTCAAAAGAATGCTCCATTCTTGTATGTGTTTTTTGGAGGCTGTGGCGACCATGCAAGAATGGGATGTGCTCTTACGCAGCCTCTGGACCGTCTGGAAGTCACATGAGAGGGCAGGCTTTCTGGAGGCGTCCTGAGCCTCCAAAAATTACATGAGAATGGGAAGGGTTTTCATGAGGTTTTCAGAGGCTGCAGAAGCTGCAGAAGAGCACTCTCTGAAGCAACTTTATGAACAAAGACCTCATCAGACCTAGAGTAGCCTCAGGTAGGCCGCAAGGGCCTACCAATAGAAAAAGACCACTGTGTGAAGGTAAGCGGCAGGTGGCAGATCCTTGGGAGAACTGGGCTGTGAGGCCAATTGCACCATTCCCCAAGGCTCTCACCTTGGGGAATAGCATGAGGTGGCTTTTTTGTGTGGCAGTAGTGGTGCTAGGGCTGCATGGGGCCGAGATGCAAGATGGTTGTTGCTTGGCTTTCATGTAGTTTGGGGGGGGGGGGGCATGGCAGCATTTTCTGAATACAGTCACTAATACAGAAGAACGTATCCCTTTTCAGTTCAAGAATCCTACTTGGTTTTTGAGTGCAGATCAGAGGCCACATTTCCAAAATAGTAAAAGACCAGGACAAGATTAAATCTAACTTAATTTATAATTTATTTAAGCTAAAATACAATTAAATTCAATTATATGGTATACTTTCTATGTGCTAGATTATTTCCCCCTTCTGTCTCCTTAAAAATTAAAATTTGACAGAAATTTTTGGAACATTCTGAAAGCCACACTGAAATCTTGAGGGCTGCATATTATCTTATTTCTCATTTTTGTTATAAAAGGAGGTGTTCTTGGTTTAATTTGCACTCCTCAGATAAAGTATCACCTAATCAGGTGCTTTATCATTCGGTATGATCTTGGCCTGAGTAGGAGTTAGTATGACTTCTACAGCCATGTTTTAGCAGTCATCTCAGAAATTATCTATCATCCATCCATCCATCTCCTTCATAGAGGGGCTATTATAAGGTAAAATACTGCACGTTTTCTTGGAAATTACTGGTTTGCTCACAAAATCCATTGTCTTGATTAAAAGACAAATTTTTGAATAGACATCTATTCCACCTGGAAAGCTTTGACCATACTCTAATATGTACAAAGATAGACTTGGAAACAATTCATGAAGAGCAGTTAAAACACTAAACCCAGCAGTACATAATGTGTTGTGCTTTTGGGATTTGTCTGGATAAAGAGAAACTGAGGTGACAATATAATGAAATAAAGTCACAAAATAATTGCAAGCAGGGGGGAAAAAATTCAGCGCTCCCCAACTACCCCTAACAGAGTTTGTACTACCTCTGCCAAAACAATAATGAAAAAACCAAAAAACTGGCACTGATGAAAAATATCTGGAATAAGAAAATGCCTAAGGCTTAGGCTATATTGGAAGCATATGCTCTTGCAATGGCACAACACGTAGTTTTTAAAATAGTATGCAACTGACCTATTTCAGAAAGAGAATTTAGAGAAAAAGAAAAGGAAACTTTTAACCTTGAACTGCATTTTGCAAGAACAGCTGAAGTGTAAACAAGTTTTTCACACAATTGCCATTTAATCAGATTGCCCTGAATGGTAACTGGTTGTAAATTTTTAAATGAAGCATCTTTCTCCTTTTGCACATGCTCCATCAATAGTAACTGAAGCAAAACAATACAAACAGCTCCCAACACAAGGAATTAGGAACTAAGAAGTGAGTACCGGGCAGAGTACATTGTAGATTTCCAATGAAAAGATACATTTGCCTCTGGTAAATTTAGCAGACCACCTCCCCTCCCCAAACTCATCTGATAGCATTAGACAGAAATATGAGTTAAGAAATAAGAGTGCTTCTGAAGAGGGAAGACAGCTAGCATATTTCAGATTTAAACATCTGTTTAGCATTACTTCAAAGGATTTCATTTTTTAAAAATAGCATGACAATCATACATATTCTAATTGTTCTGAACCCCTAAAACAGAGATGGGCATCCTGCAGGCAGCACTCCGCTTATTTCATTGGAATAGAAATAACCCAGAAGGAGAAGTGGAAAAATAGTTTCAGAACTTGCTAAAAGTAATTTGTTAGCAGCCTGCTGGGCAGAAAAGGGAATACAGATAGCTATAAGGAAGGAAAGGAGGAGAAAGAATGTTGGAATATGCACTGTAATGCATATTTTAATGCACAATGTGATACAAATCCTATGATCTGTGCATTTGCAAACAACTACGAAAAAACTTGGGTTTCTGCTGTAATATCATGAGATGTTGAATCACTTTCGTATCATTTATTTTTTATTTTGCTTTTATTATAGTTTATAAATAACTCACCGTAGCGAACATACTTAATACTTCTTTTTTCTCCTATTTTCCCAACAATCTTGTGAGATAAGTTGGGCAGAGTGATTGATCCAAAGTCCCCCAACTCACAGCATCTTGGTTCCTAGTTCAGCACTTTTAACTACTAGACCAAATTGGTCTAGTTGTTTTGCAGTTTATACTACAAACAGTTTATATAGTGCCATTTATACTGGATAGTCATGAAAAGAATGAAAAAACAGAAATGCAAATGAATCCACCATTCAACTATTAGCCAAAAAGGGATTAATTACTCAGGTTCTAATTTGGATTGCTCAAGTAAATTTGTTTTATATTCATCATCTTACTAAATGATAATCCAGTTGGTTATACAAATGAAAATATCTGGATTACATATTACATTTTGCCATAAACCAGGATAATCACAACCATTCCAGGTAACACAATAATAAAAAAGTAAAATAAATTTTATGCATTTTCATGTTCTCTCCTATATTTTTGGCTTAACTGACATCTTTCAAAACCAACTATTTAATGTGTGTTTTTTAAATTCACTCTCAAAGATGCAAAACCGATGGATTAGACCAGGAGTATCAAATTGACGGCCTGAGGGCTAGATGCGTCATGCACAGGCCACACCCATCCTGGCTCTACAAAGGCAAAAAATGTTGTGATACGTCACATGACACGATCAAGTTTGACACCCATGGATTAGGCCACGTGAATTTTGCCAAGCCCACAAAACCTGGAAAATAATGGCTTAAACAAACCCCAGCATTGCTTTGCATGTCATCCTGAATGCTTCACATCCTCTTATCATCAGATACCCTGGAGGCTGACTTTTATAAAATGGAAATGGCAGTTCCCAAGGAGAAAGATATTTCAACAAATCTTGAACTACAAACCACAAGCTAAGTTGAAACTATTCAAGTGACCTTATCTCTTAGTCACTTCTGCTAAATGGTTGGGAACTGAGCTTCATATATGGAAAAGTGAGGAGCCAAAACAGAGCTACAGTAGTCAAGGTTTTCTTCTTGGTTGGGAAGTGAAGGAATTTTCTTCATTTTGGTAGGAATGTTAAGTTTATTTTCTGGCTCACATTACAGGCTGAAAGATAGTGAGGAACCCTAGTTAGAACCCTACTTTTTAGCCATCATGCTAGAGCGGGTTTTGGAGACTCAGGGGTTGCACTTGGCCTAGG